TATTCACCACCACCACCACTGCCACATTACAATGGAATAATCAAATTTATATTTTCCAGGGGATATAACTCAGTTGAAAGCAGTGTTTTGACAGGCTTCTGTAGCCACGTACTGCTCCCTTAATAGAAATGAAAAATCCTGGTGCCATAAAGGACCTCTCTGTGTAAGTTTATGTGAACAGGTTCTGTAGGTGCCAATGACTATGGATGGAAAATATTTACCAGAAAATAGCAGGAGAAAGAGGAAAAGTGTATGCTGAAGGGCAGCATGTGAAAGCCTCCCCAGAGCTGCCAGGCTCTGGAGACCAGCGGTCGTTTTGGGTTCCCATGAAGGGCTGAGGCAGGGCTGCCTGTGCACCTGGTGAAACAAGGGAGCACTGGAGGGGATTTCCAAACCTACCTAAAAGCCTCTGGTGTGTCAGTGCAATGTCCCACGTCTGAGTAAATAGCTGGGGCAGCTCTCCCAGCTTCAGCCTGGCAGCGACGAGTGTGTGCAAATGTGCACTGGCCAAGACTGGAAGGGTCTCTGCATACCATGGATAGCCTCAGGACACTAGGCTGTCTCTATCCACTAGTGGAAAAAATGCTGCCCTAGACTTAGAATAATAAGAGGAGTTTTTCAGAATCACTGGGGTTTTTTTTTCCTTCCAAAGATAATCAAGGACTTTTCTAGTAGCGGATTAAAACAACAACAACAACAGGATTTCAAGAGCATCCCAAAATCTGAACATTGATCTTGTTCTCTGTAATTACTTAAATCTGCATTACTAGTTTGGGTCTCTCTGTGCCAGTGTTGCATATCCTCCAGAGCAGCGTACTGTGAAATCTTTGTTTGAGCCTCTCTGTTAGTAGGTGTTGGGACCTTATGGAAAGAAACTAATTGATTCCTGAGGCCTCATTATGAGTGATGATCTTCATTAGCTCCCTCCTAGATATGAAATGGGAATGTCCCCTTGAGTAGAGTCAAAAGCTGAGCCAGTCTGGAGAAAACAAACCTTACAAAAATCAAAACCCTTGGGGAAAAGTCAGGCTGGCAATTATTTTCTTAATGTGTTAGGAAGAGGGGTATCTAGAAAAGGATGAACTTGCTTGCATCTTATTTCACTTAAATAAGAACCAGATTTTTGTTCTACTAAATTTTAGATTTTGATATCTTCTTTTGTTCCTTTGAAAATGTGGGAAAAGATGCTTAGCCCCTCAAAAATGGGGTCAGTCAGAGAAAATGTTTTATTCAAATTCACTTGGAAAATTCACTTGAAAAATCCAACTCGCTCGAAAAATTTCAGTTATTCCAGTTAAAAAAACACCCCAACCTTCTACCAAAATGGAAATCTGAATAACCTTGAAATGCATTGCTATTATGTAACTAGCAATACAATATGCTTTCCTCATAAATTTGTCTTTCCCTGAAAGGAAAAAAAGATAATCTGAAAAAATTTGTCCCGTTATGTATATCTGCCTGTGTTGTGTACGACTGTAACTTCAAGCAGCGTAGCAAACAAGATCTCTTCCTACGTACGACAGCATTTTAAGAATCCCATCTGCGGAACAGGCATGGCTGGGAGAAAGGCAGACCTCCCAGCAGGCAGGAGGAGGCATGGGAGCGGCGTGCCTGTATGGGAAGCATACGCTGACCAGCGCTGCAGGCACCGTTTTGCTGGGTGCCAGGAATCCCCATTCCGCCCTCAGCTAATGCAAGAAGGCAACAGGCAGCAACAGAAGGGAGGCTCGTCGTTAACTGTGTCTGTCCTGGCTGCATAAAAAGTGAAGAACCATGTGGTGTTTTTGCCTACAGGAGAGGCGTAGCCTTCCCAAAGCCTCAGGAGCTGTGTTCCTCTAGGATGGAGCAGCTCCACTGGTGACAGGGGGCTTGGTAGAAGAGGGTACTGCAAGAATGGATGTGCTGCAGGCTGGCATCTAAGAGTAGCCTGGGATCTCTCAGCTAGCTATAGCGCGATAAAACTTTTATCCTCTTTTAAGCACAGCAAACTCGTGACTCGTGATTACCTAAAGCGTGGGCTCCCGCTCCCAGCCGTTAAGAGTGCTGCTGGGGATTTGTGAATTGCCCTAGTAAGGCAGATTAGTGGCTGAAGCGGTAGGTCTCTTCACCTGTGATCAGACTTCAGTGGGTGAGAAAATGCAGAAAATCCACCTCTTCGCATTAGTCCCAGGTTTCCTTGCACTGGGAATTATGTTTATTAGCTGGGGCTAGGGCTTATGTGTGAAAGTGAGCCGCAGCATCCTCCTTCTTGTCTGAGGTTTATCTCACACCTGCAGTTGACTGCTGTGTGCAGTCCTACCACTGTCACAATGAGCCTCTTAGTGAAGGCCATGGGAGAGATTCAGGCTGGGACCATTTAGGACATCCAATTGTACACTGCCTACCGACAACTGGTGCTCTCCATACCTTATAATGTTTATCACAAAGCCAGGCTTTTTGACTAGGATATAGGGACTGAGCCAGAGTGACTTAACACGCCCTGTGCACTCTAAGTGTGCTGAGCCACCCCACAGCACCTGACCATAAACAGATCTTCCAACAATACAAAATTTTGTCAGGTTACTATTTATCACTGTGACCTAGCTGAAATGAAAAAGAAGGAAATGTCCTCATCTGTTGTACAGAGCTCTTTGAGAAAAAGGGTTATATAAATCATAGAATCAATCATAGAATGTTTTGGGTTGGAAGGGACCCCTAGAGGTCATCTAGTCCAATCCCCCCGCAGGAGCAGGGACACCGCGAACTACATCAGGTTGCTCAGAGCCCCGTCCAACCTGGTCTTGAATGTTTCCAGGGATGGGGCCTCCACTACCTCTCTGGGCAACCTGTTCCAGTGTTTCACCACCCTCATTGTAAAGAATTTCTTCCTTAGATCCAGTCTAAACCTACCCTGCTTCAGTTTAAAACCATTACAGCCTTCTCTTCTCCAGGCTGAACAAGCCCAACTCTCTCAGCCTGTCCTCATAGGAGAGGGGCTCCAGCCCTCGGATCATTTTTGTAGGTATTAGGATGTCCAGAGTCTCCATTAATTTTGTGGCTGGCTGTTTTGATGCTGGCCTCATCAGTGTATTTAAAACAAGAAACTGAGGCAGCAAGCAGACCTCAGTGGCACGTGTGGAGAAGGGCAAATGATTTTAGTCTTTTGACGCACCTAGTGTTCCTACAGAGCTGAACTGTTGCCAGAGCTCCGGACTTGCTCACAGCCATTTCTTTAGGCACTGTCACTGTTTCATGACCTAATTAAACGGGCCACGGATGCCAGCTCTGACTGTTAGCTGAAGGCGGTAGGTCTGTGCCAGACAAACCCGCTGCCCATCCCGCAGCAATGGGGTGCACGCATGGGTAGCCCTGTTCATCAGGGGGAGCACTGCACCGCTGTGGCAAGTAGCTACAGTGGGCTCTCAGCTGCGCAAGCGATTAACTCTGGAGGTGATCTTCATGGAAGGGAAAAAAGACTGGAGAAAGTGGGGAAAGAGGCAAAAATGCAATCATGGGAAAGAAGAGGTGCAGCAATGAGGAGTGCTGGTGGGGGCTGTGTCTGCCATGGTGCGGTACCTCCATACGCCGGTAGTCCTGGGTTCTCACTTACAGCTGATGGCAAACCGGCATAAGGAGCCTGTCAACTGCAAAGACTTTTCAAGTATAAAATACAGAGCAAAATATGGAAGAACATAGACTGAAAACACTGTCAGTAGAGAGATTCTAAGTGTGTGAAATACTTGCTTGTTTACAGTTATTATTTTAATGTGATATTTTTGGAAAGACAGTTTCTGAAATGTGGGGATTTTTTTGCTAAAGAGAGACTTGTAGCTAAAGCACATACAGAATCTGCAGTGCAGCGGTAAAACTGATGTTGATCATTTCAGCCGGGACTAGCAAATCCTGTTCTTTCTGTATATCCCCTTTAATGTGAGCCAGGGTTTATTGATTTCCTCTATGTGCTTATATACATACTTTTCCTTTTCCGCAGCTTAAAATAAAGTCAGAATTATTTGTTCTTCTAAGCCAGCCCTTCCTTCAGGGAATCGCAAATTTTCCATTAGGGAAAAAAAACCCTTGCATGGAAAACCTTGCAGGAAGAATGCCTTCTCTCCTTGCTGGTGGTAGAGGTACAACAGGCAGATGACCTGAAGCTGTGGAGCAGGAGGGAGCAGCAATTGAGACAGATTCCCCCCACCCCCACCCTCACCCTTCCCCTTGCCAGCTAGATCATCCAGAGCAGAGGAGGTCATGAGCATCCATGAGAAGGGAGGGGGGGGAAAGTCCTTGGCTGTGGAAATCCTAACCGCACCCCCTCCCCGCTCCTCCTGCCGACTTACTAGCCTTCCTATTCCTTGTTAAAGGCTGATTGCAAAGAGTTAAACTGTTTCCATATGTCCAGTTCGAGAACAGAGTTTGTAGCCTTTGGCAACCCCTGCGGCATCCAGCTGCAGCTGCTACCTGTGTGTTCCCTGGGGCACCCGCCTGTGCGTGCCTGCGCCGCTGCCCGTGCGCCACTCTGTAGGTGCGCGTGGACGTGCACATGCGCTGGCGACATCCGAACCGTGCCCCTGCCGTGTCGGCGAAACCCGTCTGTCCTTGTTGGGGGAGATACTAATTCAGAGCAGCCCCTTTCCCCTCCGTTCTTGCGCTCGGAGCTGACCACGAACCATGTCAAACAATATACAACCGAGAAGAATGCAAATAAACTTCAGTCTGCATAGCCCAGCAATGCAGCTAGCCGCCCACTTGCGAGATACTAAACTGGTGTACACATGATGCACAAAGAACGCTGGCTAGTTTCACCAATCCCTTCAGACAAAAAGGGAAAAAAAAAAAAAAAAAAAAAAAAAAGGAAAAAAACCTGATCCTTGTCTTTATATCAGTGAGGTTGGAGTTCTTGCTAATAAAGGAGCTTTTCCCATGATGCAGTGTGATAAGGATTGGCCTACATGTAGCCCAGCAAGCCACTGCTGATGTTTTCTTGATTAGGTGTCTTATCTTCCATTGAGCTGCATCTGATGAAGGTTGCTGACAGCGTAATGGCAGGGAAAGCATCGGACAGCTCCATAAAATGGCAGCTATGCTATGACATGTCAGCCAGGACCTGGTGGATGGTAAGTTGGTGCGATAACTTTTTTTTTCCCCCCTCCCTGGAAGCTATTTTTCCTTTCTGAACTCCTCCTTCGCTGTTGCAGTGCACGTGCTGCAAAGTTGAGAGCGTGCAAAGTTTCCAGCTCCAGCTCAGTGACTCTGCAGAGCACCTAAACATCCCGGCCAGCTAGATAGGGTTTCTCTGCTGCTGTAGTGGCATGGGCCTTCTTTTTAAAACAGCATCAAGGACAGTAGGGGATTTTTCTTTCTCCTTTTTCTTCTTCTTCCCCTCTCTCTCTTTCCTCCTTCTTTTTTTTTTTCCCCTGCCCTGTGAAATGCAAATTTTGCAGTGCTTGCCAAGTTAGTTGGTGTGAGAATATGGAGGTGGAAGCAGTCACGGGAAAAAAGAAAGCAGCCTTGTCATCATGCTCCTGGCTAATTGTTCTTGAGTTGCTCTTAAAAATAGAGCAATCTGCCTCTTTATTCTGTTTCCTCTGCATAATTATTTAGAAAGTGTATTGTATCATGTTGTGAGCAGCCTCCTAATCAGTATGCAATTGTCCCCCACGCTTCCCCTGAATTTGGAGTCCTCCTCCCTTCCAATGAATGCAGTAACTGGAGCAACTACTGATTAATATGCCTGTTGTCATAATTAAATTTAGTTAATGAGGATATGCATATTCAGTCCATTTTTTCTTTGTTTGGACGAGCATGGCTTTTTTGTTCATATTTATACAGCTGCAAATGAAAGCGGGGAGGTGGAAAAAAAAAAAAACTTACAGAGCTCAGGAAAGGGTGGACCCTGAGAGACAACTCTTTTAATGTTGCTGGGCTAAGGAGCCCAAAACTTTATTTAATCAAAACAGTGGGGCTGGGAGCAAGTGTTTTGGGAATGAGAAGCTTTTCTCCTCAGCAGAGCTACATGAAGTTTTCTCCATATACTGATTTTGTTGCCTGTGGACAATGGTCTCTTGTATGCAGTAGCCATGCCACGGAAGGGACCTTCTGCTGGCTAGCATTCCATTATGAATATTAATTTCATTCTTGGGTTGCTTTGTCTGGTTGTGTATTTTTACCCTTTTCATTCCTTCATTGATTGCCTTGTCTTGTTTGTCTGGATAATTATTATGCTTACTGCATGGGCTGCTTTTTCACAATTAGTACGGTGCTGAGACAATAGGCACTTTATTCTCGGGCGGTGGGTCTGGGGAGCACCAGTGGATAGCACGTCCCAGCGCCTGGACAGAAGGCAGATTTCTGATTATAACTGCCTTCCTGCACTGCTTTGCAAGGACTTCATTATCTTTCCAAAGGTGGATGTTGATACGTGCCTTCAGTGCGGGTATCATACCTGAAGGGAGTATTTAATTTAAATTATGTTTGCTACTTGTGATTGTTTCTGTACTTTCTGAACACAGGGAAGGAGACTTTTTCTTCCTTTGCTACTTGTTGAACTACTGCAATATGAACATTCACATTACTTTAAAAAAGAACAGAGGAGGAAAGTAAATGATAAAAAGCTGTTTTGTGAGACTACTCTTTTGCTGTGAGTTATACTGTATAGTATTGTGTTTAGATTTATGCTTAAATCTTTAATCAGACCTTTTTATTGTAAGTGTGTACATTATTGAAAAGAGCTGTTAAAGTGCCTGACAGATGTTTAGACATAGGCAGTATGAAATGTTTGTGTAGCAGATTTGCTTAACATTGCATGTACAAAGGCTTGGTTTTTTTTAAGAGGCATGTCTTAAGTTTAATAAAAGTTTCTCTAAGGATAGCTTTCTGTAAGCTGGCATTGCTTCCAAAGGGGAAAGAAAATCAATACTTTCACTGCATGTAGTATTTTATCCTGAACTGTAATCTGTAAAATACAGGTAATGTAAATGTTCACCGTCACGAGTGTGTATTTCACACACCCTTTAGAAAGGGAGTTTAAAAATTCTTGATTGTTAAGTACGGGTGAAAATCAAATGAGATTTTAGCTGTGCAGTCTATTTTGCATGGTATTTCTAATTTACAAAGCTGCAGTTGTAGAATCTAAGGTAAACCCATGGACAGTGGGAATTGTTTTCACTCAAACAAGGAGAAGTACCTTATGCTTCAATACCATAGTGTGTAAAATATTACCATAGATTTTATTGTATAATTATTTATAGTAAATTCCTATCAGAAATACGCAGTATAAGTAAAACCTTAAGACTTCTGAGCAAAAAACCCAAGAAAGGCAGACTTCTTTAGTTTTCTGTTTCTGCTTTTCCTGAATGATTGTAAACATTGAATTGCAAATGCCTTGTGGGGAACAGGAAAAGGGGTATTAAGGTGGTTACTCATAGTTATAAAAAAGTTCATTAACAAATGCCATTATGACAGGCATCATTATAAAACTTGGTGCTTTTTCATTATAGATAAGCTCTCTACAATTATTTTGCAGTGCGGATGTTCAACATCAAATTTAGTTTGATTATTCCTAAAATAATGGCTTCTTTCTAATTCTTTTTTTAAAGTAATTACATTGAAACTATTCTTGGAAAACAACATTCTGTCTTTCTCTTTAAACTAAGTGAAATGACTGTTTAGTAAGTAAAGTCCGTGTTATCCACCTATGGTATTGTAGTACTACTCTATTGTTTCCTATCTTACCATTTATTTCATTCAGATTATTTTATTTAGCTGCAGTAGTAACAATTTCATTTGATAGGGAAAAAACTAAACAAACAGAAATTACACACTCTCTCCATCTGTGTTCTCTTGAATACAGACGTGTTCACTAAAATGCAAGAGGGTAAAAGTTTTATTGAGAATGCAATAAACAACCAAGTGCAAACAAAAGTAAACTTTTATTATACTCAGTAAGAGGAAATATATGGAGAATTGTTAAGTGATTATCTCAGTCTTTATTTTAGATGGATCTAATGTGACCATCTTAGTTGCGCCTCATCTTACTATTTCTGCCTTTAACTTTGTGGTGAGGGAAAGAACATACCCAGTGAAGAGACAGAACCTAAGTACCAAGTACTGTTCAGTGCAGCTGGCAAACACTCCAGAATTTTTTTATTGAAAAATCTCCATTTATAAAGTGAGGAGGAATGATGATGAGGGTGACTTAGAGGGTGATACCCATAGAAACACTGCATATTTTTTACTGTCTCTTTTGTTAATGGCAACGGGGTAGTTTGGGATTACAGTCATATGATGTTTTGTGATTACCTTTACAGATTTTAAAATTCATCACCTTTCTGATTTAAAAATTCAAATCTAAGTAGCTAATTACAACTTGTGGCATTGTTATTGGGCTGCTGGGTTTTTCTTGTGGGGAAGGTTTCCAAATATTTATGTCTCAGGCACCTATTGCAAGCTATTTTGTTAAATCTCTGCCAAAGTCTGAATGCATGTTTCTGGCTGTCGGATCATTTGCATGCAAATCTATGGAGTGTACATACATATTCTAAAAAAATCTCTTCTTCCTAATCTCAAAACCCTATTTTTATACACATATATAGATGCATGTGCAGTAGAGATAGAGAATGAAAAATAGTCTGTCTATTCAAAACTGTTGGAAAAAAAGTCTTGAAATCACACGTTTCTGTTAAGAACAGTCCAGAGACAACTAGGAAGTTCTGATTTGTTGCAAATACTGCACATTTCCTTTTGCTTAATTGCTTGATCTTATGATCAAAAACGTCATAACAAAATCTTGGAACAAAAAGTTTGTCAATACCAAGTTTAGCATTTTTCTATTCTAGTCTATAGTTTTGCTTTCAGGAAGAAATATTTTTTAAAAGAGAGATTTCACATAGTATTAAGGGTGTATTAATAGGGCATAGAATCCCAAATGGAGGTTAAAATAATAACAATTTAGATGCTATATTTCAGCATTAAAAGAATTATTCTGATCCTAAATTTATTAGTAAAGCCAGGTTTTAATGTACTTTTTGGTTTAACACAAATGTTAATCACATTCCAAGGGAGTTGCAGTATGTCAATATTTTGCAGCAGCACATCTGTGCAGTTTTCTAATTTGGATTAAAATGATATTCATAACACAACAACTCCATCAGTTGTTCAGATGTACAGCTTGTTAATGAATCCTTTGTTCTCAATAATGACTTTTAATTAAATGATTTAGAAACAAATGTTAGTATAACTGTGGACATATTGAACATGCTGTGCTTATTCATGGACCTAGACCACAATATCTTCATTCTATAAATTTCAGGGGGAGGGGTGGGTAAAGGGAAGGCTTAGCTCAAGGTTATATTCGTAAGCTGTTGTTCAGTTTTCCTTACTTACACAAAATGCACACAGTGTACATAACTCGCTACAAGATCCTTTATTAACTATGTAGTGGTTATTCTGAATCCTTAGCCAAAAGATGTATTTTTTTTAAGACACGCTGTATATGCTTATTAGACACTATGAGTATTTTGGTTTTATTTTTATTCAGAATAGTTATGTTTCAGTTGTAATAGATATCTGGCTCAGGTACTGTGCACACGTAGTATTTCTCAGAATTAGGTTGTTTAAAATCAGAAAGATCTGCCTGGAGAACTGTAAAACTTGAATTCACATTCATTTCTAATGTTTAATGGTTTTTATTATGGAACAGGGGAATAATCTTCCCTTCATCAAGGAAAAACCTAGAAGTAGCAGGGAATTTAAATGCTAATAGTGTACCCTAGCATAGAATGAAGGTGCCGTTGTTCATATTTAATGTTTCTTCATTGCCGATTTTGAAAAAAATGTGTCCTTTTAACCAATAAAAATATATTTGTGCTTATTCACACGCACATATTTTTCTAATTCCTCTGTGTCTTTTCGCTTTCAGTCCCTTGTATCTTAGCTATGTATTTCCAGTTAGATTTGCTACTATGAGGTGTTTAGCAGTTGCAGCACCTTCTGAGTGAAGCAACTTTTCCTGCTCCTGCTTCATACTTGTCCCCAGCAAGAGCTCCGCACTGGGAGTCTGACAGTGCCTCCTCCTTTTGTCTGCTCATTCTGGCAGTGTTAACAGTTGTCTTATGAC